TAAACTAAAGAGGTTTAAATTTGTTAACCTCTCTTTATAGCTAAAATGTTTCATTCCTTTTATTAAATTTACAGTCAGCCTCTGCACTTTTTCTAGTGCCATTATATCCTTCGTTAGAACAGGTGCCCAAAATTACACATATTCAAGATGTGGTCTTACCAGCAAGTTATAAAGAGGCAAAATAATATTCTCATCCCGAGAATGAATGCCCTCTTTCATGCATGACAATACCTTACTGGCCTTAACCACTGCTGATTGACATTGCACATTGTTGCATAGTTTGTTGTCTATAACAATTCCCAAGTCCTTCTCGTGTGTTGTTATCCCTAATTTGCTTCCATTTAGGGTATAAGTTGCTAGTGCATTCTTTTTGCCAAAGTGCATAACTTTGCATTTCTCTACATTAAATTTTATCTTTCATTTGAGTGAAAATAAAATCATGTATATGACAGGTCCACTTTGCCTGTTAGAATGTTTTAGCCTACTAAACAGAGTGCAGAAATTAAAACACATTTTTTAATATACTTTATAATAATTTAAACTAAACAATTATTTTCCCTTTATCTGAAGATGAGCCCTCTCTCCACAACTATCAGTAAAACATTTACCCAACCATCAGTAAAACATTAAGATTGCAACAAATATACATTTTTGCTTTTTGAAGCATATAGAGTGTTAGATCTTACTGTTCCTAACTTACTGTGTGTGAGAATGGGGTGTTAAAAACATGCAGGGGATTATTCGCTAAATAGGTTATTGGGAAGAACTGAGAAGGTAATGTTTGGGTAATGTAGCTACTGAGAGAATGTTTCCAATCTTGTACATTGGTCTAAAATGTGTATTTCTCTTCTCAATTCGCTCTAATTTGGGATTTAGTGAATAAGCTACACAGTGTAACAATTACAGGTTTAGTCACTAATATGCAAATTGTCAGGAATTAACATAACAATAGCATAAACAACAACAAAACAACAAGATAAACATTGCTTACATCTTGAACTAATATACAAGAACATTTTTACAGACATTTTCTTAAACGTGGATGAACGAACACTTCAAACGTTGGAGATTGTTTTCTGCAGCCATTAGTGAGCATTTATGGCCACCATTTTCCGTACAGAACACTTGAATTGTGTTGTATGTACAGTGAGGGCTCAAAGGAAGGACATTTCATTTGTGGGAAGAAGAAAGGTATGTATTATTAGAGCAGACAATAACATACTAAGCAACAGGTGGGCTACACCCCAGCAAAAACTAAACTGAGGATAAGCATATGAGGGATCATTTAATTTGTATAAGGTAGCATAAACTGCCCTTTTTTCATTCCCGCAGTGAATTCACGCCTTCCAGGAGTACATACTCACAATTAGACCACATCTTGTGAGAATATAACAGCTCATAATTACTGTGAGTCCACCTCGTATATCAGTATAACATTCACATGTACACAGTTCATGCCTTATCCGGATATACAAGGCACATGTCCACAGTCACAGGTTAAGTTATCAGTGATTTATAAACATTCTTGGTAATGTTTAGGAACAAAACTGCACCACAACATAAAGGAGCAGTAGATGTAAACGTATTGAGGCTGTATTTAAAAGAAGAAAAACTACCATAACAAGAGAACATAGTCTTAAATTAGAGGGGCAAAGGTTTAAAAATAATATCAGGAAGTATTACTTTACTGAGAGGGTAGTGGATGCATGGAATAGCCTTCCAGCTGAAGTGGTAGAGGTTAACACAGTGAAGGAGTTTAAGCATGCGTGGGATAGGCATAAGGCTATCCTAACTATAAGATAAGGCTAGGGACTAATGAAAGTATTTGGAAAATTGGGCAGACTAGATGGGCTGAATGGTTTTTATCTGCCGTCACATTCTATGTTTCTATGTCTTGGTGGAGCATGGCAGAAAGCGTATGGAACATGGCAAACAAATTAGTGATTCATACTTACGAGTGTTTAATAAAGAAACGTGTTCCAGCATGTCCTTTACAATTCAGTGTCCCTTTATTAGAATGTCCTCAATGTATGAAGCAACACTTCGACCGTCACTGCTGTCTTTGTTGAGCTTGATAAAGACTACGACTACGTTGGCGATCAAAACATTGCTTTATATACTAACACTTTAACAAAGGGGCACTGGATTATAAAGACATGATTCTGTAATGTTTGGCCATACTTATTAGTGGGCATTATTCGCATTGAAACACTTTTCTTTCATTGCCCCCTAGAAATGATAAAAAACCTTCTTGAAACTACATATAAAGCTCTGGGACCAGTGAAGCTCTGCATGACCAAGGGTAACCATATTTGTTCCAGGCATAACTGTCAGAATGTCTCTGGAGTGAGGTGGGATGCATTCCAGAAGACACACAATGACTCAGACCACCCGCGCCTGCAGTTAGTAACGATTTATGTTCCATCGGCTTTTCCGTCAGCAATCTGAAATTAATGGATGCTCTATCAATCTTGTGTTGACTCAAATAATTTCATATAGGTTTTCATAAGATTGTAGAACCAAGTGAAAGTAATTTATTATCCTATCATACATTAGAGGTAGTTAATGATACTGTGTCTTCATGTTTCCATTTCTAAACTTCAAAGACACCAAATGAACTTGAAGTACACTTTTGACTGATGTTATATTGTCTAAAGATTTATCATGTCACTTCGGACTACTTTTTGGATATGAAAATTAAGCAAAACACATAAAACATGGAAGACAATGACAACATGGAAACAAATATGACTGTTAATTAGATGGCATACATTTTTACAAAATAATTAATGGCTCAGCAATGACTAGATTACGTGCTTGGTGTTACATGCCATAATGTTTTGCAATTTGATTTTGTAATGGTTCCAAAATAAGCATTTGAGCAAACATATTGACATATACCCTTTTGAGAAATCAGAAAAAAATATTAACGCCACCAAGACTGGATTGGCCGACTTCTAAATATAGTTTCCTGAAATCCTTTGTAAGGTTTATAGGAAAGTTTAAAGTGAGGACAACTCAAAAACCTGCACATCTTTCTTTCAATTTCTAGAAACAGCTAATTAGTCTTTAAAGGATGATTGCTTCCTGAGTGATTGCTGAAAGGGCACCTTGACAATTTACTTTGGACAGAGCTTGTATAAGCTTTAGATAATACCAAAACCTTCCCCATTTCTCCTCGGACGAGGTGGCTATTCACATATTTAATTTAATGGCACTTGTGTGATTATAACCCTGAGAGTTCTTTCAGCATGCTGTGTTCCAGACATGACTGGACTGCAACTTATTTGAATAAGTTATGCCATTGAATATTCTTCCGTATTTCCACTAGAGGACAAAACATCTTCTCCTTCTCACCAACCTCGTTTAGCTGATTTATAGGTGCTACTATGTAAAGAAATATGTATTTACAAAGTCTTAAAAGCCTTAATTGCAAAAGGCAATCAACGACTTTCAGCCTTAATTCCATTCAGTTTCCACAAAGCAAAGTTTGCACATCCTATGCTGAAAAGATAATAGTCACAAATTGTGTTACAGTGTTACAAACTGAGATCACACATCCATGGACAATGTGCTGAATATATCTAGATATGGCTTAGATGAAGATTGCTAGATTGATGTATAATCTACTAATCTATCAAAACAGTGAAAACACTTTTGATAAAGCCTATCCAAGGGGAAACACGTTAAGTTTATTGTTTATAACTTTATCACTTTTATTTTAATACATTTTATTTGTATTACTTTTTTTTTTTTAATAATAATAAAGTCCTTTTTAAATTGGACCTAACTTTGCTGCTGTTGGATTGTTTGGAGCTATATCACTGGTGGGGATCATACCGCCCAAGCGCTTTGGATTGAGCAAACCGGAACTTGCTCTTTAGCATGTGAGTAGGTTTAACTTATTTATTTCTGATTACACTCCTTTTTACGGTGTACGCTATTGTGGTTCTGTTTGTTTATCTCCACATATTTTTATATTTATACCTGTATCCTTGAGTTGGGATCATACCACTTCAAGCGGTATCAGAGGAACTAGGTTTTACGGCTCCTTTACACGTGAGTGTACATTTTATAGTTTTTCCCTAACCTTGCTTCATAGCACTACATACTTAACCATATACAATTTATATTTGTTTATTTTTTATGAGGATACCCCCTACCACACCTATAATTCAAAGAATTACCTCTGCACTTGATCCATAGGCGGGGATTATTCCCCCCAGGCGCATACACTGGAGCTGTATTGAAGCTCCAGGAAAGTATGAGTGCACATCTTTTATTTTGTCTGTCACCACTACAGTTTTAAATACTACACTATTATTTCTTCTCTGGTTCTCTCCACATATACCTTGTCAAGGATTACTGAAGTGCTGCACCTATAGTTATAGTATATAGCTGGTATTCTGATCTTTGCTTACGTTTATGTTTTGCCACCCAGGTTGCCATAAATTCAGACCCGTCCATGTCCAGCAAAAAGAGGAAAAATCATAATTTCCTGCCTCTTGCTGAGGACTTGGATTTTTCAACTTTCCTCACTCTACCTGCAGCCTGCAGTCAGTGTAGTCGGACGGCCTCTCCTGATGATGTCAGGAGGAGGCAGCGTGACTTTCACTGCTCTTCTCACGCCCCCTCCTCTTGACATCATCAGGAGAGGCCAACTTCACTGGCTACTGTATGCTGGCTGCTGCTCCTGCTCGCCGCTGGCTCCTGCCCACCCCTCCCTGGCCTAAATTAAGACTCAGGAAGGGGGGAATACAATTTAGCTTTTTTTGTTTTTTCAAACCCCCTCCTCAGTCCCTGTCCCCTTCCTTAGCCCTTGTCCCCTTCCTCAGCTCATGTTCCCCTTCCTCAGTCCCTGTTCCCCTTCCTCAGCCCCTATCCCCTTCCTCAGCCCATGCCCCCCTTCCTCAGCCCCTGTCCCTTTCCTCTGCCTTGTCCCCCTTCCTCTGCCCCTATCCCCCCACTACAGTTTCTAGCCCCCTATTACAGCCCTGTCCCCTTACTCAGCCGCTGTCTACTGGCTTTAAAAGTGTAAAGTATGTCTGTGTGTGTCAGTATGTATGTGTTTTTTGTGTCAGTATGTATGTGTTTGTGTTTCAGTATGTTTGTGTGTGTGTCAGTATGTCTGTGTGTGTGTGCTAGTATGTCTGTGTGTATGTCAGTATGTCTGTCTATGTGTGTGCCAGTATGTCTGTCTGTGTGTATGTCAGTATGTATGTCTATGTGTGTGCAAGTATGTCTCTGTGTGTGTGCCAATATGTCTGTGTGTGTGTGTCAGCCAGTATGCCTGTGTGTGTCTGTCAGTATGCCTGTAACAGAGTGTGTGTCTGTGTGTGTGTGCCTGTCAGTGGGTGTGTCTGTTTAGGTGACTGCCCCCCCCTTTCAATCACATGGAAAAATGTGTTTTTACTCTCCTCCTGGTGCAATGGGCCACTTGACTAGATTTGTCCCCCATGCCTAAGGCTGCCAGCGCACCACTGGGTCATATTAAGGTCTGGTAATACCTCCTTTCAGTCTTATGCTTTTGACTAATACTTGTAAGTTTGGTAGTGTAGCCGTGACAGACGTGCTCTGTTTATAATTGATACTAAGATGTATATATGCTTCTATTATACTATAGATATGTATCTGCTCGTTATCTGTCCATACAGATATTCTCGTTTCCTCTTTGGATCTTTCACAATGAACTGACACATGTGGACATATTGATGAATATATTTACTTAACATCTTGTTTCTTCTCCAATTTTTCCAATTACTGATTATTGATTATCTTTAATGTCTGCCTTCCATGTAAAACCCCCAACTAATTGTACACCCCGCTTACAGGAACCTACATTCACAATCCAGAAGAACACCTTGCTCGCTATTTTCCAAAGATGTATATTTGCTGATTCGTTGGATCCTGTGATTCTAGGTTTTAATACTGGAGAGTGTTTGTGTCCACAAATGTGTTTGGGAATATCTCTGAACTTTAACGTTGTCTCAGAATATGAATTTATTATTTGTTTTTGTTTTTTTGAGAGAATATATTAAAAGTGCGATCAAGAAACTCTACAAAAAGTATAAGAACTCTTACTTTTATCCAGCAGCAAAGGCAGTGAATTGTTCTAAAATGTAATAAAGTTAGCTGACACATTGCTGACTGTTTAGCAGCAATCAGAGATCAAGATGCTGTTCAGTCCGGGTTGTGACTGTGATATACAATCTGCGCTACAAGGTCTCAAGCTAAACTATGGGCAACTGACATAAAAGATTTGTTATCTTCACTGCCGGGGCCAACCTTGAGATTGATCTTTTCTTGGAGAAACACTTCTGGAACAGAAACAGCTTAATGTTTTTAAAAGCTAAAAAAGAATCTACACCATTAAATGGGGTGACTAACCCTGAACTTATTTGAAGTTAAGATATTAATGCTTTTTAAAAAAAATTAAGGACCAACTTGGAATTCTCAGAAAATTAATCAAAGGTAGCCAACCGATAGAACACAAAGATCACCATGCTAGATTCAGTGGAAATAAATGGAGTGTCACGGATTACCTCCCGGTGACCGTTGCTCCCCCTCCAACTTCACAGACATGACAGTGAGGGGTGGAAAAACAGAAAACAACATGTACAGGGTGCGCCAAGAACAAAGTGAATAAATACAATAAATTATAGAAAAATATACCAGGGAAAAAGGCAAATTAAAGTCTCTAGTTTACAGGTATTCTTCAGAAATTCTCAGGACGTCTTGGGTCAAATCCTCATCAAATCCTCATCCTCATCAATCCGCATATATGAAAGAAAAAAAACACACAGAGGGGACCAATGGTGCAGTAACTTAAAGGAGTATGGCTACAGACAACACTGAGATTATGAAATGTCAACTCACATTTATGGGAGCTATAACCAGCTCGAGTTTAAACAGCATACAGTGGTGACAGTAAGGGGGGTATGTGACAGTCGGATGTACAATGCCTCATGAACAACCAGATGCAACATGATGCCATGTAAATGTGGACTGGATTTGTGGAACCCCCCAGGGGTTCTGGTTAGGCAGATAACCTGATCCACATATTTCTTTGACACAGAACATGACAAGGAGGCAAGGGGTGGTGCAAATACACAAAATGGCTGATAAAATGTGCTCTATTAAAACCCAGAGCAACTTAGCTATCATTGCTCAGTTGTTCTGTGCCTTAGCAGTGAACGCTTGGCTTACTTTCTGGTACGCTATGTTGTCCTGGTATCTGACTCTTGGCCTGGTTTCTCGTGTTGACCTTTTGCGTCCTGGATTTACTTCCCTTGACTGTTTGACTTCACCTCTTGGATTACACCGAACGCATTTGTTATTCTCCAGCCTTTAAAACTTAGCAACCCACTGCTTTCTGAGTTATATCTACCAAACTCCTGACATCAAAGTGTCCGTTTTTTCACTGAGTTGCTCATCTTGTTACCAAGAATCTAGAAAAATCAACTGAATTGATACTCACCCTACAGATACAAATTGTGCAAATACTCTATTTAATCTTGTAGGTTAGATCCAGCGGGGACTTTACAGTGGGATTCAGCTTTGAAATAAGTTCAGCTAAATCCTATAGTTCATTATAGACTTTTAAATAAACTCTACAAAGCAGTGGTTGTACTACATGCTCCAGTTAGGTTTAATTGCTGAATCAATGGAATGGTGAGATATAAATGATCATATTGTATCTGCCTTTATATAGTGTCAGCATATTCCACCGCACTTTACCGTAAGTATACAATTCTAAGCAAGCTTACGATCTATGAGGATCTGAGGTAGGAAGATAAATATTGTTAGGTGTCTTGTCCAGGGACACTTACCTGGGACTCCCAGTTCTAAGGTAGTGATGGCAACACTACCTGCGCTGCGGAATGAGTTGGCGCTATATAAATATCAATTATAACAGTGCTCTAAACAGCCCATACAGAGATCGTGCCACTGATAATACAAACCTAATAATACATATGTACGTAAATCACTAATAAAACTGATTTAGTTTAGCAGCTCTCACAGTTTTCCCACTGACTTCTTTATACCCTCTACAATGCTGACATTAAATGTTTATTTGATCTATTTGAACAGTTCTTATATAGTCCTCTTATCCGGAGAGCTTTAGAATATAGGCAGCAAACAGGAGATTAATAATTAGCCACACTGAAACAAACAGAGAGAAGATAAAATGTAATGTAAACCTTAACCGTTGTATCATTTGTGACAAATAATTTGACAAGGTTTCTGTGTTATGTTACTCTATTTTTTAAGCAACTAGAATTCAATTTTCTGTGCTGTTTATTTAATTTACAGCCTGGCTATGTGCAGTTGGGAGTGGTTAATTATACAGAGCCATCAAAATGATATTACGACGGTCTCCTGGTTCTACTTAAAAGGCTTATTAGCAAAACTGTAAGATTGTGTTTGTGTCTAATTGCATTTCAATATGTTGTCCTTTTACCGCGTTACATCCAATTTTCGATTTGTTCCATCGTTACTATTCACCGTATTCCCATGGTGTTACCATTAGATCATTTTTACATTGTATTAAGATTTAGTTCATTTAAAAGACATCTTTGGTGATAATAGGCAGAGTATTTTGTTATTTGGCTGCACGATTATTATAAGAAAGGTAAACATTTTAATGACTGTATATTTTAACCCATTGAGTGCCAAGTTCTCTTTATAAATGTTTTTTTTAAAATAGCGTGACATTAATTTCTAATGTGGAATGCTAGCACAAAAACGTTAGATAACCACAGGTCATCCCATTATTTCACATGCACACACACACAATCTTCTGGCCCATTATGGGTTAACCTTTTAAAGGCGCTAATCCCTTAGTAAAAACCAAAGAAAAAAAAGTTACCTGTGCTCTATCCTTAATCCTTATGTATATTTAAACAAATGGAGGTCATTTAGTTACTCCAATGGCCACTGGAGGTAATGCCTGTCTGCCAATGTCAAGGCAGACCCCCTAGATGGGTCCTAATCTGACCCTTTACCTTGCTTCGTTTATCTTCTGGCAAAAATATCTCTAATGAGACAGAAAGGGGTATTTTTTATATACACCCCTATATACTTGTTAACCCTTAACAGAGAATGCATGGGATAGGCGGCAGCATTGTAACCTAGCTGTGTGATACAAAAGGTGAATACAAATACAAAAAGAGGAGTCCTGCGCTCACTCCCATCACTCCTGGGCGGCAGCAATGACCACAGTACACATCAGCCCCAATACATACAGTAAAAACCAAAGAAAAGAAAAAGTAACCTGCGCTCTCTCCTTAATCCCTATGTATATTTAAACAAATGGAGGTCATTTAGTTACTCCAATGGCCATTGAAGGGAATGCCCGTCTGCCAACGTCAAGTCTGTATTCATTGCTGCCGCCCAGGAGTGATGGGAGTGAGTGCAGGACTTTTCTTTTTGTATTTGCTAATACCTTAGTATACACCAAGGACAAACAGATGTCCAATCTCCAACCCTGAAAAGGGTTAATTGATTCTCCCCAAAGCCTCTAACTACCTCTATCGCCCCCAAACTAATATTTAATAGTGAAAGGAATCTTAACAAATAAAATAAAAATATGTAAAGAAAAATGTATACTTACCTAATCTTAAAGGACCACTATAGGCACCTAGACCACTTCAGCTTAATGAAGTGGTCTGGGTGCCAGGTCCACCTAGGATTAACCCTTTCTGCTGTAAACATGGCAGTGTCAGAGAAACTGCTATGTTTATAATAGGGTAATCCAGCCTCTAGTGGCTGTCTCATTGACAGCCGCTAGAGGCGCTTCCGCGCTTCTTACTGTGATTTTCACAGTGAGAAGACGCCAGCGTCCATAGGAAAGCATTAAGAATGCTTTCCTATGGACTGACTGTGGCTCTTGCTTAACCCCTTCCTCTCCATCCAACCCGGCGGAAGTGGGACCCTGAGGGTGGGGGCACCCTCAGGGCACTATAGTGCCAGGAAAACGAGTATGTTTTCCTGGCACTATAGTGGTCCTTTAACTGAAGATCTTTTTGTAAATATTGTTACTTTTTTCTTCATCCATAACAATAACCAATTACAGTGCTCTGAAAAGCATGCCTCACTTCACTTGAGACCGTCCCAGTAATATGTACATATAAACATAAATAATTACACATTAGAATTTACAGCATTACACTTTAGCAGCAGTGAGGGAATGTAAACCACCTAGTAAACTGAACTGATAGGGTATATATTAAAATTACTGGATACCTAAAGAGTGTGTCCTCTTTTCTTTTATTCTACAAAAGAGAAGATTCAATAGAAATTGCCAATTTTATAAATTAACCTGGTTACTCCCCCCTGGCTGTCAATCAGCTAACAGATCCTGTTACTTCCTAGTTTGCTCAGTGGATATTAACTCAAGAGGCAGCAATTGCCCAGAGGCCAGAGCACCTGCCTTGCAAAGACTTCTCATTGGGCTGCATTGGAAAGTCTGTGATTAGACAGCCAGAGAAAGTCTTGGCAGGGTTAGAAGAGGAGGAGCTTGCAAAGGCTACATACAAGAGATCTGTAATTTTTGCAAGCTGTTTTTAGCTATAGTCCCAATAAAAAAATGCATAATTAAATACAGGCATGGGGAATATCTACTAAACATATGCCTCAATATAAAATTAACTTCAACATTCGTGATTTTAGTCCAATATACACATTGATCGTATTGAATTAATCGTGAGATATTGTTCATATTTAATACTTAATCCTCTGGCTGTTATTTACACATTTCTCCACTCACATAATGTGTTTTGCCATTATCTATCACTCTCTGTAAAATAACTCCAGCTAAGGCTGAGGAAGGTCCTGGTAGGGCCAAAATGTTTACCAAGCCCATCACTTGATAAATAGTTGCTTGACTGCTGACCCAACCAGTCCCCCAACCAACAAACCCGTTGCCCCCCAAATAATACACAAGACACTTTCTTCTTGTGGATACGGGCAACGGCCACAGCTTTATTTAACATAATAATTTTAACTTATTCCAACTCTGCCAGCTGTTGGGTGTTTCCCAACAGGCAGTTCTCCCAACTTCTATACCATGAGCCTCGATAGCCAGCTCCTCGCCATCAGCTCCGTACAGGATGTCGTCTCCCCAAAGCTCCTTTTTTCTTCTGCGCTGTCCAGGGAAACCCGCCAAGCTGTGACAACACAAAACAAGAAAAACAAGACACAAGCCACAACACCAGAAACAGGGGGGGAGGGTGGGAAAACAGCCAGGAGCCCTCACTTAACCTGCTGACTGGTAAGTCCCCTCCCTCTCCCTTTCCTTAAGAACCACAAACCCAGCCCCCAATCTTGGGCAGCAGTCATGCTCCCCCTTCCTTATTCTTCCAGGGGGAAACTTGACTGCTGACCCAACCAGTCCCCCAACCAACAAACCCGTTGCCCCCCAAATAATACACGTGACACTTTCTTCTTGTGGATAAGGGCAACCGCCACAGCTTTATTTAACATAATAATTTTAACTTAGTCCAACTCTGCCAGCTGTTGAGTGTTTCCCAACAGGCAGTTCTCCCAACTTCTATACCATGAGCCTCGACAGCCGGCTCCTCGCCATCAGCTCCGTGCAGGCTGTCGTCTCCCCAAAGCTCCTTTTTTCTTCTGCGCTGTCCAGGGAAACCCGCCACCGCGATGCCCACTTCGCGCACTACGCTGCGCGGGCATCGCGCCCCCCCACCGACAGCGCCGCCTCAATTCCAGCTTGTAATCCCATATTGAAAATATCTAACCCAATGGGGGACAAATGAACACCATCCCGTCTCATTACATCATCATTAACCCCTTCCAACTCAAAGTGCCTCACAACTATACCCCCCCGTTGGCGTACAAACCGAGACATGGTCATATTAACCTTACGCCTATAGCGCTCCAAAGCCTTACCATGCCCCCCGGACCGCCATACCGGGCGCGGAACGATCTCGGACCAGACGAGGGTCAGGTCCCGGAACAACGCAAAACAGCGGGCCACGTCATGCCGCATCGCATGAACTAGGTCCACCGACTGTCGCCGTCCGACATCGTTCCCGCCTACGTGAACTACCAAGGTCACCGCCCTGACACACAGCACCGGAGCTGTACCAGCTCGGTGTACAACCCATCCCATGACAATCCCCGAATCCCCCTCCAACGTACCCGTGCTACCTCATACGATAAACCGAGAGGGTACGGCCATAGGGTCTAGTCTCCGCACGCCTAGCAGCCCAATAAACAAATGAGTGTCCCACGATCCAGACAAATCGAGGAGAAGGACCTACAATGAAAATAACAGACAACCATCACCGTAACGATGCTAGCCTACAGCAAATGGGGGCGCAAGTAGAGCTGGTACCGGCCCAACTGCCAGCACCACAAACGCTTGAGCGCCTCCGTAGGGAGGCCCAGCTGACTAGCCTGCGTGGCAGCCCTGATTCGAAACGAGTGCGTGGTGTACAAACCAGGAGACAACCCAACACTAACCACCCCTGCCCGAAGAACCCTGGCGAACTGAAACCGGCTGAACGCTGACCCATCCTGGTGCCGCAACAGGGACCCCACCTCCGATCCTCGCACCGCCAAGAAATCCCGCAGCAACTTAACCGGGCAAAACTGCTCACCAGTAGCCATAATCCGAACCGATGCACCCACACCTACCTGATCAGTCTTAGATTTACGAATGAGCAACGTCATGTCGCCCGTCGAGACCGTGATATCTGCGAGTTGCATGGCAGCTGGCCCCCGCGTACTTGGAGCCACCAGCCCGAAACACAAATCTGGGGCAGACACTCCAGGAGTCTGCACAAGATCTCATAGGAGATGGGACGCCGAGCGTCCCACCTACGACCCTTCTTCCAGCCCTTCATGATCCGCGAGACGCAGAATGACTTGGTCGCATCCTGCCACCCACACCACTGGAACAGAAAAGACAGGGCCGCTAACGCCCTCTCTGCTGCCGCTACCGACTTACCCTCCTCGCAGAGTGACTCCAAGAAGGCCAGAGTCCCTCCCAACCTACCTTCGTCCGAAGACGCCTCCCTGTCCTTGCAGACATCCGTCCACTGTCGCCAGACCGCAGAATACGACCTCCACGTCGACTCTGCCAGCGACTCCCTCGTCAACCGGCTCAAATGGTGGAAACCAGGTCCCATATACCCTCCGGGCACGAGGTGCCAGACCGCTCCGCCTCTGGAGCCGCCACTCGAAACCTGTCCCACTGAAACCGAGAGAGAAAGTCGGCTATAACGTTCCGCTTCCCAGGCACATGGCGCGCAACCAACCACAAATTATGTGCTAAGCTAAGCAGTACCAGGCGCCGGAGGAGCATCAACACCGGAGGCGACGCAGACGTAGATCGGTTGATCACATGGACCACACTCATGTTGTCCGTGTGCACCACTACCTTCCGATTCGACAGCTCCACACCCCAGAGCTCACCAGCCACCACAATGGGAAAGAGCTCCAGAAACGTTAAGTTACTCACCAATTCCGTCTCTAGCCAGTGTCGGGGCCAGGCCTCCTCGCACCAACGCCCTTGAAAGTAGGCACCGAAACCCACGGACCCAGACGCATCCGTGTACAATTCCAAATCTGCGCAGCCAGCAGGATTGCCTGTTGTACATACCCAGAAATGAACTCCAAACTTGCAGATCCTCTCGATGCCGGTGAGTGATTCGAATGAAGTGAAACGATTGCCTGACTCCGACCGTTGACAATGACAAGCGACGGCAAAAAGCCCTGCCCATCGGCAATATCCGACAGGCAAAGTTTAGATGCCCTAACAGGGCCTGCAACTGCCGAAGCTGTACTTTTTTGGCCCCTTTAGCCGAATCCACCAGCCGCAGCAGGTGAGTTAGCTTTTCGTCCGGCAAACGGAAAACCATGCTCCACGTGTCCACCTCAATCCCCAAGTAGGACAGGACTCCCACCGGTCCCACCGTCTTCTCGGCCGCTGTTGGCACGCCAAAATCCGCAGTGACGGCTCGAAAGGAATCCAAGAGCACCACGCAGTCATCCGACTCCCGCGGGCCCACAAACAGAAAATCGTCTAGGTAATGAGTTAGCGACTCTATCCCTGCAACCCGAGCGACCACCCATTCCAAAAACGACGCAAACATTTCAAAGTAAGAACAAGAGATAGTGCAGCCCATAGGCAAACACATATCAAAGAAAAAGGAACCTTGAAACCGACAACCCAGCAGGTGAAAACAGTCCGGGTGGACCAGGAGCAGTCGAAAAGCAGACTCGATGTCCGACTTCGCCAACAGAGCTCCCTTCCCTGCCTCCTGGACCAACTCTAAAGCCCGATCAAACGAGGCGTAACGAACGTGTGATTCTTCCTTGTCAATGTCATCATTCACCGACCCACCTGATGGGTAGGACAAGTGGTGAATGAGACGGAAGGATCCAGGCTCTTTCTTAGGAACTAACCCCAGCAGGGATACCCGCAAATTGGGAAATGGAGGCGTGTCAAACGGACCTGCCATCCTGCCCAAACAAATTTCCTTCCTCAACTTATCCTCTAGTATAGCCTCTTTACCCACAACCGAACGCAGGTTATCCGCCAGCTAAGGGGAATCCGAATGAACAAATGGAATCCAAAACCCTGTCGAAAACCCCTCCAGCAGAACCCCCGCATCCTTACGCTTGGGATACCGGTCGAGCCAAGGGCGCATCCTTAGCACGCTCACTGGAGTCCTCCCCTCTAGGGAGATCCTCCCTATTGGGTCTCCCGCCATGCTTGCCCTTCTTGAAACAGCGCAGCGCAGGGTGGGCCCCTCCACAATGAGAGCACTCGTGCTTGAACCGGCATGATCCAAACCACTTGCAGTGACTCTCATTGTAGAGCCAGCAGACTCCCCTGTGCTGCCCGGCCAGCGCACTGGACGGCGCGCCGGCTGCTCCTGGAAAGGGGGACGGACGACTGGGGGTCATCAGCAAGAGCCAAAGGCTCCCGTCCTGGACCCCAAAATCCATACCTGAACACACCGCCATCTTCTGGCGAATTTGTTGGTCATACCGAAACCAACATTGTCCCCCATAAACCTTGTACGCCCCCCATATGAGGTCTAAATACCCAAACAACGCCGGTGCCTTCTCCGGGAAGGCCCGCATCAGCACACTTGCAAATATGGAGAACCTTTGCAACCAGTTCCCAAACGTACGCGGCAGATGCTTACCTCTGTCGCCGTCCACCGAATCTCCCCGCCGCGGCCTATCCACCGACTCCCGGTCCGGGGGGACCAGGGACAGTAAATCCACATATTCACCTTTTACAATCTTCTCCTTAACCTCCAGAGCCACGTGCATCCCTAGTGGGTACAGCTCGCAACCTGGCAAGCACTGCGCCCTACCTGACCGGGCATTCAACTGACCCCTATCCTGTGCATGGGCCTGCGCAGGGAGAGAAACTGGGACAGACAACAAAGGGCCCCCCCCTGGGAGCCTATCTAACACAGCCTTAAGCAACCCCAGTACTTCCCCATTGAACCCACTATCTACCCTATCCCCAGCTAGCGCATGCCAAGCGCTAGCGCAACACTTAACGCTGGCTGGCTGAGGATGCTGGGCATCACCATCATCCGAACAGGAACTGGACCCTGATCCCAGGGGTGATCCACGGCCGGCCTCCTGGCCCGACCGCAATCTTTCTTCCAGGGTGCTGCTGCTGCCACTCCTGTGGCCTCTCCGCCTTCCGGTTTCCCTCCTGGGCGCTTCTCGCGTTGTTTCCGGCTCACTTCCTGCTGCGTGATGACGTCACGTACGCGCCTTGCGTGATGACGTTCCTTCTGGCCACGTCCGCGTCACGCACTGAGCGTGCTGACGCGACTTCTGTGCAGGCTGGAAGAGAAGAGCACGGAGAGCGCGATCTTCCCGCCCTTTCTCCAACCTGGCTTCCGCCGCCATCTTGGTCCTGGACATCGCCACCGGCCTCACAGGAACGGATCCTCCTCCTCCCGGGTACCGGACTCCGGATCTGTTGCGCTGCCGATCCACCACTTCTACCCCTCCTCTGGCCCCGAACCGGACTTGGAGAAAGACGCGACGGAGGCCTCGATCTCCTGGCCCTCCGTCCGTCTCGGGATGCAGACTGACCGGCCCTTACGTCCTGGGGGACACTCCTCACGCCCGACACCAGCTCCTCCAGGGCCCCTTGTCCATGGGTCTCCAGGTAAGATTGCAGAAGTCTCTGCAAAGCGGCTCCAGTGTCAGCCAAAACCGCTGCAATCTGACCGTCAGTATCCGTAGAAATGCGCCGTTTAGGTGATAATCAAACTTCTTTTTTTTTTTTTTTTTAAATGTTCGTCTTGAATTGCAGGGCCAGTCAGGTAAGAAAAAACAGCCAGGAGCCCTCACTTAACCTGCTGACTGGTAAGTCCCCTCCCTCTCCCTTTCCTTAAGAACCACAAATGTATCCATTTTAACCCAGCCCCCAATCTTGGGCAGCAGTCATGCTCCCCCTTCCTTATTCTTCCAGGGGGAAACTTTATTGCTTAAAATAGCTGCCATCAGCATTATCCAATCAGTGTCACTTTCCATGCATGCAATGTGAATTTCAGATTGTAAACCAAAATATTTAAATTAGAAAAATGTTTACAGCTTTGTTTTTATTTGAGCCGTCAAATTGAGCTAAAATGTGAAATTCACTTTGAATTCCTGACAATTGTCACATTAATGAACAACCCTGTTTGGTTTACTCACTAATTCTGAACTGTAGCAAATTATAATATAACATTTCAAATATTCAGGAAAAATATTCCCCAACTCTGTTGTAATCACTGCCTGGCTATAATAGGTTTAATGTTTCCATTTGGGTTTAATTTGCTACAATTTAGACTAAAGAGAATAAATTATTTTTGAGTTTAACTTGACTTCTTGAGTAGCAATATTTGTATATAGATCACAGCGTTATTACGTATATATTATACCATAATCATATTGCTCATTCTCTGTTACTTGAATGGTTGCAAAGATTAAAATAAAAATAAATAAAAAAAGAATGTTTGTTCTGATGACGCAG